ATGCTTGGAAATTTTCGACTTCCTGATCTGAACTTATTATTCCATCGTTTTAATCGAAGCCTTCAGATTGTTCTTCTCCCAAGCATACGAGCACATGTCGAAGCAACATATGGTTAAAAAATGTTTAACCAGAAAGTTGCCCAGCTGGTCGCCGCTACGTAACTCTAAGGAAATTTGGTCACTATTGGGCATTTCGAAAATATCAGCTGTGCATGCTGCATTGTTTTACAAACAGTTTATCCTTCAAAATAAGCCCTAATAGTGGGCCCTTAAAACGCTTTCTAGCGTTCATCCTTTCATTTAGCAATGAAGATGGTCACTGCAGATCCTTCCTCATTCAGGCGCATTTAAAACATTAATTAATTAATTTCCCATTATATTATTTCTTTTAGATGATGTATGTAGTAGATTCAAAACCTTCCCTAACTCCGAGCAGTGTCCAGTTCAGTAGAGAGTCCATTGATTCCGCCACTATTTATTTTTCAGTAGCCGAAAAATACGCAAATAATCTGAGTCTGGTCCATTCAGGTCGCCCTGGCTACGACGCAAGTAAAGAAAATCCCGCTGATAGTGCTCCAGATGGTCCACTTCCCTCTGCTCGGACTAGTTCACGTCAATTCACCCCGGAATCCCCTGCACCGCAGCGTGTGCAAGCGGTCTCCAGACGAAATTCCTTCTCAGAAGGGGCTCCATTACCAGAAAAAGCTCAAGACCATAGTCAAAGCCAAAAGTCCGTTTTCCAGAAAAAGGAGAAAATCGATGCGTTTCATCACGAAGAGGAAAAAACCATTCCTCCAGCGGCCGCATTGACTAAGGATAGATCAAATAGGTAGGAATTACGTTTTTGTGAATGATAGGTGTTAGTTTTGACGCATGTTCATTTTTCTTTGACTTTGAAAGTGAAAGATGACGTAAGTAATATTTTATAAACCTAACTGGACAGGCAACGCTGTTCGGGAGTTTGCGCGTTAACCTGCTCCCAATGTGCATTATTGTTCTGTATTGGAAAACAATTCGACCACGGATATTATAGCTCATGGTAAACTAGCTCATTAACTTTCGCTAAAAACTGTCACTCCTAACTAGAAAGGTCTTTTAATTTCTGTGACTATTAGGTGACTAGTTGCCTTACCTTTGGACATATTGAAAATAAGTGACTTTCTAAAAAGATGCCCACGCACAGAACTGTATTCGAGGACATGAATCTGTGAACAAAGCTCGCTGTATTTGGGCAAAGCAGGCAATGTCGCTGGAAAAGTACACTTTGTTTTAGCCTTAAAGGGTCTGTTTTTAGTCAGATAGAGACGGCAACCCATCTAGAAGAAACAACCCCTGAAAAGTGAAGCTCTATGGAAGCAAACAACTGAGCCAAACCGCAAATAACCGCTACAAGCGAAAATGCGAGGCCCGGAGCTATTTTAGAAGAAGTAGACGCGATCGCAGGGATAAGAACTTAATTCGGCTTGTAATGAAAAGCTACTTCCTACTGTTCAGTAGTCCGACATTCCTTACTTTTACTAACTCCATAACCACGAACCCCTACATGACTAACTATGAGCGCGTGTAAGTTGAGGGGTGTTCGCTGACCTCGGGCGAGGCCACTGAAGCACATTTTTAATACAACCAAGAACCCGGCGAGCGCGTGTAATTTACTTCTGTTACTATCATCAAGGGAGGAGGGTGTTCGCAAGCCCCGGGCGAAGTCACTGAGACGATGTTTAGCGGCGAAATGTGCGATTCGAGGGCGAAAGAAAGCCTGCGCGCGAACCAACTCCTGCATCTTAGTGAATCCGCGGCGGAAAAACTCAAAGTCAGACTACTGAACAGTAGGAAGTAGCCTTTCATTATAAGTCGACAATATTTTTGGGGCCTCATTAATCAATCCTACTCCAATTTCAATCCATGTTTCGAATCAGCATCAGATAAGTGTCATTCATACACAGGCAGTTGCAGTATTTATAAGATGCAATCGGTAGATTACTAAATACCAATGAAAATTAGTGACTCTCCTTTCATCGAGGAGGATTGCCCTCCTGTGCGTTTATTGCTTGATGGCCGGCATGTGGATAGTTATCTGGTGAAATTCCATCACTGGTGTTGGAGGTTGTCATGATGATTGTCAGGCCAATTGGCTCACCCCCATTGGCATTGGGAAGGGTGTTCAGCTGTGTGCTCCCTGAGTGGTTGGTCGTTTAGGCTAAACCAAGTCTCAGCAGCATCGAATACGAGTTAGGGAGTTCAGTGCCTTGTTATTAGCATGGGGACCTGTAAACCCCTACTCAAGCAACTCGCTGCGTACGCAATTGACACCTTTCACAAGAATTCCGGCCTCATCGAACATGAATGTGTAGCCGGTTCGCGTCGAATGAGCCGCGACTTGAAAATTGACCTCATTTCTCCGCACTGCTGCCGTGTGTTCGGCACTCGGCGTGCGGAGAGAAGTCTTCCAGTTTCTCCGACTGCACCAGATCTGAGAGACGACTGCAGACGTTCCTTGCTGCGGCAGTGGGTCTTTTGGCTTCATTACCTGATGCCTCATGGTTGCCTCTGGCCTGTGGGCGACTCCAACTCCGAGTGATGCCATAAGGTGGCTGATGGCCGCCCTGTGTAAAAAATAACCTCATCTGATGCTTCTTCTGAAGATGGGTTTGAACGGGAATCCGAAATGTCAGCCAAATAAAGTTTTTTTTCCTAGCGATTGCATCTACATCTTCTCATCCACTGTAATTTCGAAAAAAACACTGTGTACGGGAAAATATAGATTGTCTTTCCGGTAGTTGCACTCAAATATATTCATAGATTTTATGGCGGGGCCTATGGCAAATGAACGAAGCCACGAGCCAAGTTCACCATGACATGTTAAGCCAGAAAACCAATGCACGCGCCGAGCAGTATTGACCACGCGTGATGTTCTTACTCACCCGTACTGTAGATCGATAGGTCGATATTTTTCCGGAATTGATATTCTTTCACGAGCCGGCCAATCAATGAACGCCACGCCACGGCCGGAATATTCCAGAACACCCATAAATAAGTTAAGGTTGACGAGTTAGAAAATCTACTTATTCTACAGGCCTTGCATAAAGTTTTTGGTGTCAGAAACCGGCGCCTTTGTCTTTACCGCCTACCCGTCAGGGTATAAACTGGCCAAGTTGGAACTTTTGCAACTTCGTCACCAGATAATTAGGCTGAGGTACTACGGGTGCTACGTGGAGGATATATTCGCGGTTACACATTAAGAAAAAGAACTTTCAGCTTTAATGGATGCCATAAATCAGGCACACGCGTCAATCAAATTTACACTAGAAGACCAGTCCGGAAAGCTCCCATTTCTAGACTGGTTTTTAAGTAGAAGGTCTGACGGGATTATTCGGCATAATGTCTATAGTAAGGAGACGTGCTTCGGGCAGTATGCCTATTTTTGGAGTTTTGTACCACCAAACTTAAAACATAATTTAGTGCCTTGTTCGAACAACAAAAAGGTGAAAAGGATCTTTCGACCAATAGTATTTAAGAAGAGTTTAAGGTTACAGAAAATGGTTATCCAAATATATTAATTGCTAAGACCATGACTGAAAGACCACGAA